GCACACTCGCACATAAATCAGATCGCAAAAGAGCAAAATATGAGGCATCAGGGCCAGGGGCAACATAAATAATTAACAAACTTGACTCAAATGATAAATTTTTGTTCGCCCAAAACACAGACGGAATATTTATGACAAACCAGAGATACAAAAGATATACCATACCATACTATACTCGTACTCGTATTGTTTATTCTGGAATGCCCAAGGCACTTGACACTCGAGTGGCCAGGGGCATCTTGTCTCCTCATCCTTGCCTCTAATCAAGGGCCAAGGGATGCGATCTGCCCCTTGTCGGTGATTTACGAGCTCCCCAATCATTCGGGACACATAGCCAAACAACATGATATATAAGTAAGTACAACATGCCATCTAACATCCAGTCTTACGAGTATGTGGGCATCATAACTCGTCATTGCATTTGATTTTATTTCGGCGTTATTTATTTGAATTATTTATTTATCCTATTATTGGGAAGTCGGACAAGTTTCGTTTTGGGGGGTGGTAATCTCTGATATCGTATCGTATCGTATCGATAGGGTGGAGTTCCCAAGTTCCATAGATTTTGTGGGGGTCCGACACGCCCCGCAAATTTGACATTACTGACCGTTCCCTTGCATGAATATTCGTAATATTGCCCCAGCATATGTCCTGCGTGTCCTGCGTATCCTGGGCAGTGCCAATCAATAATGCGGACTGGATAAAGATTTATAGGTTTTGCATTTGCCCACCGCACGCACCACTCCTTCCAAAAATATTTTACCCCACCCAAAACCCACAGCACACAACACACAACACACGAGGACTCAAAGGACGAAGGATATCTGGCATATCTGCCATATTTGCACCACCTACCCAACCAGATGGGACACACTTGGGACAGACCCAGCCAACTGGTAATTACAAATAAGAATAAGTGAGCAGTTATTCATCCCGGAGATACATTTGTACGAGGCCCAAGCAAACTGCTTATCCCACCGCTGAATTTATCAAATGAACAGTATTATTAATGAGCTGGCCGGAATGCAGGAGGTCAATCATAGGTGTTATAATGACTTACGGCACATGAAGATACATATTTAATTTAACTTTTAGTTATCCTTTGACCACAACTTAACTTTATAAATTCCTGATGTGGATTCTTGACATGAATCGAATTGGGAACATATATCTTTTCAAATATCAAAATATAGATAAAAATATACACCCTAATATTTAAATACATTTTAAGCTATCGACAAGAGTTAGCTTTCTTTATAGGGAATACTAGTAGGTTATTTATAATACAGATAAACCATAAACAACTTTAAAAGAAACAAATATTTCATGATCTCATTTTAAAATAAATGTTTTTATAATGTGAGATCCTTATCAATATTTTATATTTTTACTATTATTTTTTTAATTATTCTTGAAATTTTTATTTTTAAAATGAAGAACATAATGTTACAAACCTTTTAATATATCTTTTTTGTGTATATGGAATACAACAATCCTATTTGCAGCTTCTTTGTATTAAAGTTTAACCAAGAAAACATTAAAAACGAAACCAATAAGACTTTTTATATTATACCAAACGACTAACATTGAAAAGATCTGTATTCCTTTTATAATTCTTAAATACCTCTTGAAAGTTTAAAGTTGGAATACCTTTAAAATACCTCTTCAGATATTACTTTACTCAAAGCACATTTTAAAATTCCAATATTGAATATAACCAAGTCCACAAAAATAAGAACAATACAACTTTTTATTACGAATCAATCTATTTTTTTAAAAAACTTTTTTAAAGCTTATAAACTGGATTTAAAAATGATTTTTCATTCAAAAGTAAGATTACAATACATCACATATGGCTTTAATCTAAAAGCACATTCCAAATTTGGTATGTTGGGTGAAAGTAAATCCACAAAAACAATAAGAACCTTGCTCTTAATCAAGAAAATCCTAAAGGTCCTTTAAAGATAATTAGCTTCCTTTGGTTATGTCCCATATCCCCTCTCCATTCGACGGCACTCCATCACCAGACCTCCAAGTTGGACTCTCCAGCGTTGACACTCTAATAGGGAACCGGAATTTTTATAGGTTTCATTATGTCGTTCGTACCTTGGTTGCCTAATTACGTGCAAGTCTACTCGGGGTAGACAAATAAATTTTTGGTGATTTGTTGACATGACGGGGATACGGGAAAAGGCATTACTTTCCCCACACACACAATAAGTAAACTAGAGCGAATTTAACTATTTGGCGATTACGCCGAGAACACTCCGCAAGGAGAATGAATTGCTGCCTCCGTACTTTATGTCCCATCAAAGTACGCCTACTCCATAAGGTGAGGATGGTAGCTCGGGTTGGTCAGGATATGGTCAAAAGCATCCTGAAGGCGGATGCTACAATGGCAACCAAGTGGAAACGCCGGCGAGACCGGGCCATAAAGAAAAACTTCATTTGTTCGCAGGGAAATAAATCTTTTAATGCACATCGGAGAGTCGTTATTCGGGCATTGTTTTCTCATTTGCCACAACACCTCCGAATACACCCACTCGCCCCCAAAATCATGAGGCATATGTCGTGTCGTCTGCCCATCGAGCTCCTCCCGCCCCTCGATTCCCCCCCCAAAAAAGGTACACAGGACCATTTCGAACCATCCCAATCCGAAAACCCGACTTGCCTGCCAGAGCAAATGAACCTTGAATGGCTATTTCAATGATTCTAATTATGGAGCCGCCCGGCGCAAAAGTTTGTTAAGTATCGCGTGCATCATTGTTATTGTTTTTCTTGCCAAACCCGAGATCCACAAAGCTGCCGAATTGCCTTGTTCTTTGGTTGTACGGCAGCGGGCACAAAAATAGCACAAAAATGTTCTGAATTTTGAAACAACATAATAAGTTATTAGAATTTAAAATCTCCATTATATTTATATGTCAAAAAACACAGTTTTGGGTTCCATTACCTTGGTACTTGTTACTTTTGAATAACTTCAAATTTATAATAAAAATTTTATGTACCTACAATATTAAAAAAAAATTTTTTATGAATTTATATTGTAAAAATTGTACAAAAAAGTTAAATTAGTAATTGAGCAAATAAGTTTAAATATACAAATATAAAAATATGAAAGTTTTAAGTAAATAGTTACAAGTAAAACGTTAACTAAAGGAAAACAAAACATACTTTAAACGAAGGAAAAATATTTTTTTTTTTGCTTGAAAAATTTTGTATTTTGTTGTAAAACTTAAGTATATAAAGTAGAAAGCAAATAAATAAATAAAAAAATAATCGTGTCAGTCATTTGTTTTTAAATGTATCAAATAAAGAAAAAGGTAAAGTAATTGTAAGTTCAACACCCACCTGGTTATTTTTATCAGTTTCTTTGCTATGTATAATTTTAGAATAAATAAAACCATATATAACATTTCCTTTTAACCAAGGTTGTTGAGTATAAGTCAATCATTTTCCTTTTACAGTTACATAGTTTCTGATGATATTTTAATGATTTGTATATATTTTGCTGACCCGTGCTGTAGGAATCCATGCTCGCCTGTAACATTTCATTCGATGGGTGGTGCGCGCTCATTAGGTGGCCACCCCTTCCAATTCGCATCGCAAGTCCTTCGCATCGTCATGCAAAATGTCCCACAAGGACGGCAATTGTCCTGCTTCCGTGAGTGTGTGGGTGTGTGGGTGCGTGGGTGTTTTGGGTGTGCATGTGTGCGTGGCTGTGACCTGTGAAAATGCCCGTGTCAAGTTGTGAGTAATAACACGGAAATGCCGAAGAAAAAGGACAGCGAAAGCACAGCTCGTAAAATGGACAAACGCAGGGAGGACATCCTTATAGCGATTATCATACAGATGACATGGGAATACTCTAACTAAACCAATTTCGAAGAATACATTTATATCTGAAAAAGGTTTTTAATGGGTTAATGGATTTCATTACATATTACATATTTTTTTATTGTGATACTAAAATAATATAAAAATCAATTCAAACAATTTTGAGCATTTTGCAGGGTTACAAAAGTTAAAGATTTAACAATTTTTAGTTTTGGAAATTTTTTGATAAAGTTTTAACAAGTTTTCTTAATCATATATTTATATGTGACCAGCCTATCAGGTATATCTTGCTTAATTTTTCATAATTTCTCAATGAAAAACACTTTATAAATAAAAATCTAACATTTTATTATTCAAATATTTTTAGAACTAAAGATTTTTAAATGAAACGAGATAGGTTATCAAAAACATACTGCTATAAAAATACAAGTTTAATAATTAAATAGGTAGTGAAAAAAAGCCAGTGATCTTAAGATTTGCATATTGAATGTTAGAATATATGATATGCTTTTTATCTTAAGCCTTAAAAATATGGAAACACTTTTGTTTCTTGTTAAACTATTTCTTGAACAATATTTTTGTTGACAAAATAGGACAAAAGTGTTTAATTTTCGTTGACAAATCGCAGAGATGTTCGCGATTATACAAAGCATACATTTTGGCATCAGATCCTTTACAGCACTGGCAATTACATCTACCGATGCTCCCCGCCAAATTTAGCCCCAAAAAAGGACATTAATTAGCTGTACGTGTTCATGCATTACTGGAGTATTTGTTGTCGCTGGTATTGGGGCACCATAATAGCTCTTCTGTTTCTCTTGTGTCAAAACGAAAACGAGAACAAAACCCAAACACACATAAAGCTCCAGGATGAATGGCCTTTTTGACCTTTCATGGGAGTACGTAAAGATGTACGTATGTACCAACCGTATTCGATGGATGTCTGCATGTTTGTACATAATTACGAATGCTTCTTGCTTCTTGCAGAGACAGCAAAAAAGTTAAATTACAGAAATCGCAAACTTTAATATCCCCCAGTCCGAAACAAAAGTCAAAGTAATGGCGTTGCGTAATTAACGAGACTCTGGGGATCTCGAACCGATGAACGTTGTTCTGCCCGGTCTTCAATAAATCCATATACGTAGACGAAACTTGGTCAAACATAATGGAACTTGTGAAAGGTTTTTATTGCCTGTAAGATTTTCTAATAGAAAACTTATACCTCTAGACTTGTTTTCGTTCAAATGGGTGACATGTTGTATAAATATATAATAAATATATTATGGAAATTATGATCTTATATTTATACTATAAAAGAAAAAAAAATATTTATAAAACTTAGAAGTCAAGGTAAGTTCCGAATCTTTCTCCTTCTTTATTATTTTAAATTTAATATTATATTTGCATAAAAGTAATGAAATATTCCAAACGCTGAACTTGGTGCTTAGCAGATACAAATGCTTTTGAGTAATGAGTATAAAAAAAATATCTTAGTAGCTAGTTAGCATTTGCCCATCTACAACGTCATCTTATAGGTGGTGGCATTATTTGCTAAAGGTCGCAGATTGGTTTTCAATTTTTTCAGCTTATTTAGCTTATAGGGAGCTGAGTTCCGATCCTCCGACGTACTATCATATGGAGTTCGTACAATTTCAGGGAGGTGGGCATAGTAGACGATCCGCTCGTTACGGGCCGGAAAGGTCAGATCGGCTTGCTTCGAAGGACCGTACTTGCTGCTGCTGTAGGAATCGATCGGTGCCATAGGTTCGTCCATATAACCACGTCGCACTTTAGGATAGTCCCTTAAAGATGGGGCATCTGTGTAACGGTCCGGATACATAACGTAGGGATCCGGATACTGCGGTATCCGCGGACTGTAGCTATCGTATGGATCGAAACGCTGCCGATGCATGTACATGTCCTCGAAATACTGCGGATAGTTGCGATGGTATTGCTCATCGAATCTGAAAAAGAAACCATTTTTGATTAATTAAAAATCTTAAGTCAAAATTAATGGATACAACGTTTTGATTGCAGAGTATATATAGTAAGTAGTAGTCATATTATGATAAAACTCAACACTCTTATAGGAAAACTATTAAACCATAAGAAAATAACATAATATGTTCTATTCATCCATTTTATTTATCCATATATATTTATAGATTTATCAAATTATTTATTTATAACTGAGCTTTAAAACAGGTTAGAGCAATAAATGGTCATATAGGAAAATGTACCCAACATTAAAAACAAAAATCCTGTTTTAGCTTCTAAGTTTCGTTAACCTCATTTAATATATTGAGTTTTAAATGAGTTTACTTGAGAGATAATATTAAGATATTATTAATTAAAAATGTAATTCAGAGCGACTCTTTTTTATAATACCGGAGCAATTAAACAAAACAAACCCTGAATTTTAAAAATCTATCTTGTTTTCAAAATAGATTGGCCAAATAAAAAAGATGATATCAAGTTGGCTATTTTGGAACACCCACTCACCTGTCGTATCTTCGAATATAGGGATCGTAGGACCTTGAGGGGTACATGGGCGCATTGGCCAGTAGTTTTCCAGAATAATCGCCGTACCAGGGCAGGGGCTTGGGGGGAATACCATTGACAGGCCTGTTCAGCGAGGCCAAATTCCCTTCGCCGTGAATCTTCAGGGCGGAGGTGGCACTGAGATCGTTATCCGCAGCATACGAATCGCCACCACCCATTCGTCGGGGACCCAGGATGTACTCGTAGTCCTTATATCCCGCGGGAGGTCTTTGGTAACTCATCTGCTTGGGTTGCGTTGGGTCCAGCATTCCCGCCGAAGTATCCACCACGCTGCTATCCTTGGCCTCCAAATCTTGACCACGACCAAGGTCCTCGAAACTGGGATTTGCAGATATACAGGTGGCCAGCATCAAACAGGTCGTCATCCACAGCGGAATGACTTTATTCGCCGACATGGTGCAGAAGTACAGCCGATGCGTTCGGGCCACCAGATGGAAGTGCTCCACTAATCGCTGCAAAACTCTATTGAAAGGTTGGGCATTAAACGCTACAATGATTCGGCGACATGGTAAGTTGAACTTCAAAGCCGTTTGTTCTGGCTGCTTTGTTGGTCATTCTATTGGAGCACTGAACCGCAATAGTGCGTTCCCCGATTTCACCGCTTGCACAAAAAACACCCATAATGTAATCCCCCCTCCAGAACTTTTTCCAATACCAACCTGTGTGCCAAATACATGCAAGACACAGGTTTAGTTACAACTCGACAAACAGATAAATCTGCTTTTAACAATCTATTTACATTTATTTTGCCAACTAAAGTGAATTACCAGGCGGTATACACATCCGTACGACTGCCATGAACTTATACATATATTACTATACTACTATTTTTCCATTCAAAAAAGTCTACCAATCTGGAAATCTGGACCCAATTTTTTTACCAAAAAAGTTCAGTTTTTTGGCTGCAAAAATAAAAATATAAGTCAGAATGAGGAATGGCATACCTCGTTGAACTCGTTGCTTAATTTCCAATCGATTGGCATTCAAACCTGTAAATTTTTAATTTTGGCCAATTTTCGCAAAAAAAACGATGTAACCCCTTACAAAAAATGCGAGAATTGGTCAAAAAATAAATTTTCCTTTAAATGATGGGGATCGTTAGCATATCTAGCAAGGTGTTCAAAAGAGTCGGTCTTTTAGCTGTACGCCTTGTTTTGACTAAACTACGAATGAAAAACTGGAAAGAAAAGTTTCATTTTTGACTAAAATCTGAATATCGTATTTTTGAGAGAAATCTAGACCCTATTTTTTCACCAAAAAAATTCAGTTTTTTGGCTACAAAAATAAAAATAAAAGTCGGAATGAGGAATGGCATACCTCGATGAACTCGTTGCTTAAGTTCCAATCAATTGGCATTCAAACCTGGAAATTTATTAATTTTTGCCAATCTTCGCAAAAAAAGCGATGTAAGTCCTTACAAAAAATGTGAAAATTACACAAAAAATAAATTTTCCTTTAAATGATGAGGATCGTTAGCATATCTAGCAAGCTGTTCAAAACAGTCGGTCTTTTAGCTGTACGCCTTGTTTTGACTAAGCTACGATTGAAAAACTGAAAATAAGAGTAGATTAAATATAAAGGACATCTCCATCAAAAATGTTTTGGTTTTCTTTTATATATTTTCAAATTTATAAGGCTTAGGTCTATGTAAATAATAGTTTTATAAATTAGTTTCCATAACAAATTAATAGTATGAATCATTAAATAACTAAGGCCCGTTTTCATATCCTCATGATTAGGTGAAAATAGCTTTGAATTCCGAAGATTTCAAGCTGATTCTAACACAACATGCTGATGAAAAGGAAAAAGGCCCCAGGGTTTGTTAATGCTGGATAAACAGAGTGTTTGGAAGAGCTCGTCATCGAGCTGCTGTTCCTCAAACGATTGTTTAAAATTCCTTAGTTTGGCAGCTTAGAGCGACAAATGAGGCCACTCCCCACGACACTGCAATTGAATCAGGTTTCGGGAAGCTGGTGGTTTTTTCTTTTGTTGACGATCTTTGTACCGTTCCAGACTTGATCTGAACGCCGGGGAGAATTTACAGCTTAGAAAATGATTATGTTCTGCAATTGCGAGAGCGTGGAACCAAAGTGGGTGCTTTCCGGCAGGTTCTTGATTTGCAGCAACCATCGCTGGCACTCGGCGCACTTCCTCTGGCGATCCTCGCGGGTCACATCCACGCCCAGACCATTGGCAGCCCAGGAATCGAGGTTCTCCTGTATGGTTGGCAAGAAGTTCGACAGAATAATACGCAGTGTATCACAGGCTCTTGTAAAGTGGCTGAAAAATAAAAGAATCGGTTAAGGTTGACTGAACCGAAAACTGATTACATCGCTACTCACAACTTGTGTTGGCTCTGCAAAAGTTCGTAAAGCTCTGGCAGCACAAACATGCAGAAGTCCAGGTTCCACGAGGACCTAAAAATGGGTTAAATTATATACTGTTCCCTTTTATATAAGATGGGTATCTCACGGTTTCTCTAGTATGGCTCCAAGTAGATCTATGAAAATAGATTTTCCACAGCTCTTGGCTTGCCTTAATGCGCCCAAGACATCGTGCGACCTAGGTGATATAAGTTATATATAAGTAAATTCAATATTTCAATCCACACTCACCTCGTGGCGTGCCTCAGCAAATCCAAGCTGGACTGGCGGTTGCTTAGCTCCTGCAACACAGCCTCATGCGATCTCGAGAGCATATCAAAGTCGTGATCATCCATCATGATGCGATTGTTCAATGGCTGCTGCAGGTATATTGTAAGAGAAGATATATTACAACTGGCTACAGTATTTAAGATTTTAAATGCCTACGTGAATTTGTTTTTCCTGAGTTTTGGCCTGCTGATTTGAACGCATGTCCAGAGTTGTGCGAGATCGCATCGGTGGCTTTGTGATGATCTCCACATTGATATTTTTCTGCTGACTGTTCTCCTTGCTGAACTGTCCCTGTGCGGAGCCCATTGGGCGCTTGTTCTTATTGACGACATTCGAGGATGAGGACTTCTTTAGGACCATGTTGTCGTCCAGCTTGTGCAGCTCCATGGAGCTAACCGACGACACCTGGCTGAGCTTGCTGCCACCAAAGATGCCCGTGGACGTCTGCTTGGAGCTGCCCATATTGCTCGTTGTCCTCTTGTGCAGGCTTGTGGTTGTGGTCTTTTTGATCGACTTGGACGAGGCATTGATGGTGGAGGTGGCGGGTGGTACTGGTTTATAGTTATTGGTAATGTAGTTTAGGTTCTGGTTGACCGGAAAGTCCTCGGCCATGTCGTAGTTGTCATAGTTATTCAGTATGGGCGGGTTGCTATCGTTCAGATTGAACTCCAGCTGCTGCACATCCGGCTCCTCGTCTTTTCCCAGCGAGTAAATGTTATAGATGTCCGGCTTGTGCAGCGAACTGGGCTCGTTCATTGACATTAGGCGGGTATCGATGGCATAGCTACTGGCATAGCTGGCCATATTATCGGGCACCCTTGAGAACTTTCCCTGTCTCAGTGAGGGATCGATTGCACCGCCGTAGACGACATGATGCGAGGCCAGATCCGCCGTCGAACCGCCAGCCGTCGTGGCCAAATGAACCGGTGGCAATGAGGACATCGGAGACGTTTCCGCCGATTCCAGCACAGCCTCGTTGACCACCTCCAGACTATAGTTGGGTGACGACAGGCCACTCTTGCTGCCCTCATGCTCCTCCTGCACCTGGGCCGGCTTGGAGCCACCCAGCGACAGCCTGAACTTCTGGTTGCCACGTGTGAAGCTCTTTCGGGTCGTTGAGTTGTGCTTAAAGTTGGGCAGAGAGTTTGCCGGCTGGTAGAAGGGTATCACGCGGTCCAAACTAATAGTGTTAATGGAAACGGTGTCGATCTCATGGCAGCCACAGATCTGCAAGGGGAAAGGATATGATTCAGAACATACGCAAGATAATAGCTGGGAAGTATTTTAACTTACCAACTTATTGTTAACCACTTTCATGTCCGCCAGCGAGGACCAAGTGCTCTTTATGTGATCTAACTCACGATCAGGCTCCCAACCAATGACCGAAATACCCGAAGAGCTGCCTACAAAGAGGCATTCGCCGTTGTCACTAAAATATATAGAATGGAAAAACACAAATTAATAAGGATTGCTCTTTAAACAAACTAGTTTTTATAGTAGATATTTATTTAGGAGTTTTACCTGAACGTAATACACCTAATGGCCTGGCCATAGAAGTGTGTGGTCTGCGAGACAAGCTGCTGATGCTCCAGATCATAGATGGAAACAGTGCCATCAATACGTCCGGCGGCCAGCAGGAACTCGAAGGGATGGAATTGCACACAAGTGATGGCCGTAACCGGCGGATCCGCTATGAACTCCATTATCTGCTTGCTCTTTCGTATATCCCAGATGAGAATGGATCCCTCCAAGCCAGCAGAGGCGATCCAAAGGCCATCCGGTGAGAACTTTACGGAGTTCACATGAGACATGTGACCCCGACACACCTTGATGCAGTTGTTTTCGTTCTGCACATCCCAAAGTCTGAAATAAAAAGGTTTGGAAATAGGCATGGGATAAAAGATATACATAATATGTATTGCACAGGTATATTATTCACAGAACTTCAAATAATTTAAAAAACAATTATTTCTCACATAAATAAATCGTCTAAAAAAAAAGGGAAACTTCCGGAAGTTAGCCTATGAATTTTAAAATTAACAGATTCTCTATTAAATGGAACCGAAATTACAGGGGATCAAGTCCCTGCTACGATTTTACCAGAGTTCCGAGCTAAGGTTTGTGTCTGCGGTGCGAATGGCTTTAGGGTATTTTAGCAGTACTTATAGATCTGCTCCGAAACTTATGTAGGCAGTATATTTTAGTAAATTTCCGTGAGCCGAACTGATTGAACGATTGTAACAAACTTATCTGGGTGGCGAATGGTAATGCACTTTGTACCTGCGATATTCTTTTAATCTGTGCATTCAGCCGTATTCCAACGTTTAATCGTCGAGAATTGTAAGTGGAGTATAGTAAATTGCATATGGGATGTTTGTTTTTAACACATGTGTGCACCATGGGTCTGCCCTCTCGCCGCGAGTAATGTATCTTGTTGTCTCTTTGTTGTTGGTACCATCCGAACTTCTTGGTTTTGAACCATGAACCGTTGGACTTGGACCATATCACCATGGGGAACATTCTTCAACCCAAGAATCCACTTCCACGCTCACACACTTTAGGGCGATAGCCTTATCAAGGTGGTCGCTTAAGATTAAGGCGATTCTTCTGCCTTTTTAGATTAGTCTCAGTCCCAGTCTCAGTAACCCGACCATTTATATTCAATTCATTCGTATTTTTCAGCCGAAAGCGTTGCAGGGGAGACCGGATTTTGTGCAACGAAACCAGATTTCTGATTTCTCCATAACCAGAACAGCCAGACCATGTCCTCATCCGATGGAAAACTTCGTTACGATGGCCGTGTGGCGGTGGTGACCGGAGCAGGCGCCGG